TCCTTCTCTGTCTATTCAACATATATATAGAACGCGACTGGCATTGAACACTGCTTCGCGCTCCTCGAATAACTGCAAATAAACATAGTAACAAAGTAGCTCTCACCATGGTAGCCCTGAGACCCTGAGAGGAGGGGAAGTGTAAAGGCCCAACTGAATGTTTCCTCTTGGAGCAGATTTAATGTGAGCCAATCAATCAGTGCCTTTTGCTTTGTTGTGGTTTTGGGTACTGGCATGGTTGAAGCTGCTATTGTGCGCCTATTCATAGACTCCCACTCATATTTGACTGAGCATGCTGCCTCCCAGTGGGAGGTACTGCAAAAACACTCTCCTCCCCTGCCTAGTGCTTGAATCAGGTTATCTGGAGGTCTTGAAAAGGCATAAAAAGCATTGAGTTCAGTTCCTCAGAAAAAAAAAGCCCACAGAAGGTATTAGAAGTCCTAAATATTTTCTCTTGCCTGCTGAGAAGCTATAACGATAGTTATATAATGTTTTTTGTATCCAATTGTGGGCTTGTTGGAGACATTATAAACTGAAACTGGGATTGGGGTTTTTGCTTTTTTTTGAGTTTTAATCAGCGCTATCAGATATGTAACAATCACTGTTGATTGGAAGCTCATTGGCTTATAATGGACAAGTGTCAATTTTAGCAAAATCTTAATTAACTTGATATGGATGAAATTATCGATTCATTTATGTTGCTTATTTGGATCTATGTTGAATTAATTTGATTAATTATATTGAGGTATTAATGTTATATACTGCTGGTTGTTAAGTTCCAGATATTAATGTGCATACTGGTTGCATTATATTTAGTTGGCCAGTGAAATAAACTGCCTGTATAGAGTGCATATATTATAATGGGTGCCCGGAATAATTTGGAGGAAGTGGGAGCTCTTATTGTAAGAATCAAGATGTGATGTTGATGACGTTATACATGAAACATGGAGATCTCCAATAAAGTAGTTATCGAGTAACTTCCAAAGGTTGTCTTCTTGTCAAGTGAACTGCTGAAAAAATGTGATATAATAATAATTCTTGGCCATATCATCCCTACTATTTTTCCATCATATTTTCATAATGTGTTTGGCACAATAGTAAAACTGGTATTAAACTGCATTCTGTGTGGTATTAAAAAGGTCTTTTTAAAAGTCTTAAATTCAACTAACCGTGCAGAGACCCTGTTATGGAGTTTACTTCTGGCACAAATCAAATTGTTTGGCCTTAAAATAAATGATTTACACTTGGCACATATCTAAATGCAGCTAAGTGGAGTGCTGCTTTATCATGACTGAGTTAATAAGAGTCAGGTGGGATGTTGCTGCAGGTCATGACAATTGTCACTAATGCCCACTGTGAAGGTGGTTGTAATAGACAAAAATTGTTGAGAAATTCGATTTTGAGGCTCTGTGATTGTGCGTGTGTGTACAGGCGCCTGGATAAAGAGCAGTTGGGGTCATGTGCAGATGGAGGGCAACCAGCTCAGTTGACCTACATTGCTCCTCAGCTGGGATTACTGGGTGGCCGCCATGTCCCCACTACACTCAGGTGAGATACTACTTTGATAGTGATTGTTTATACTTCGTTTACTTAAATGGCACGTCAGATATTGCGCTCACAACGACACAAACTGTATGTACATATTCTTGGAGAAAGCTGTAGATAGTTTTCCTCACCTCTTGTCCTTCCAACAGGTCCAGTGGTTGCGAAGATATCAGCACATACCACACTGTGTTTCTGTTGGCCATACTGGGAGCATGGCTCTCATCCTGCTCTGCCTGCTCTGCCTCCTGTTGTACTACTGCAGGTTTGTTGAAACGATTTGACTGTCTTAAGATGCAACTTATTTTTAGGCAGAGCTTCCACACTTACCTCCACATTGAGGAAATGGACTATTTTGACAGTGTCAGGACTATACCATAATATGAGTCAGTTCTTATGACTAGTTATGTGGAAATTGTAAATGTACCTAGGCTTTATTTTAGGCTTCATACTGTATGTTTCTTCTTGATAGTGTCCAATGAAGAACCGTGCAACTGCACAGGAAAAGTCACACATTAGCAGCAGTATCTGTTCTATGAATAACTAGAGCAGAGTATTGCTCTTATACAACATTAGCTAAAACAAAGATAGACACATGAGTTTGTTTTGATTATTTTTGATTTTTGATTGATTTCGTTCTTGCTAAGCGGACCGCCTTTCGCATCATTCCATGGTCCAGTATCATATCTGAAAATATCCTGTCCTATTGTCAGCATTTAGCTCGTGCGTAACCTACAG